GTATCTGAGTGTACAGTATGTAACACTTTCAGGTAAAGACATTAGTGAGTATTGTAGTAGGAGGATATGCATGAGACACAGGGATGTGGCTCTTGTGTTCAGATCCTAAGTAGGTAAAAGTTCACAAGTTTCAAATAGAGTATATCATTGAGCTCCACTTGTGTAATGATTGGCTGTTGAAAACATGGGTAGATTCTAAAAGGCTTAACAGTTAAAGGTTAACTTAAACAGAGAGATGAGCAACAGCAAAGGAGGTTTGCATCAGCCAGGAGGCGTGATTACTAAATAACATCATGCCATGATTCACTTAACACTAACCAAAGAGCACTGTAATGGCACCTTAAAAATATTCTAAATAATGGAATATAAATAATATAAATATTCTAAATTTTGTAACTACAACTGCTTTTAAGTTGAGAATATATTTATTGCAAAAAAAATTAAGGAAGCATAACTTAAACAATTTAACAATAAGAGGTTAATTCCAGGCTGAAAATTAGGAAGAAAGAGTAAAACTAAACTGAAGTGTCCAGACCAAACCTAAATGTTCCAAAGCTAAAAAAAGTGTTTCACTCTTTCTCGTTTTCAGCATGGAAGTAACCTTCACATATAAAACTAAGTATGTTTTAAGAGCTAACCCTCCTGAGATTTAATAAAAAATTTCAATCATTAAAGTAATTCCAAGAAATTAAAAAAAACACTACCTTATATAAAACAAGCAGTGATGCCCACAGTATTTGTGGCTACAGAAGTACCGGAAGTTCTAACAAATTTCAACCCATTATCTGAAACTTCTTATGAATGAAAAAGTCAGGCTGAGGTTGTAAAAGGGTATTCTGTGTACTTGAGTGGGATCCAGTATTTTCGTAGTTACAATTTGACCTTTACATAGTCACCTGGCCTCCTGATAAAAGCAATAAAATAGCTGTGTTGAAATAAAAGGGAACAGAAAGGCCAACCCACTACTGAAATAACCTAGCATAGATTCAAGACATGTGTCAGTAAGTAATTAAAGGATCACCCATCCACTTTTAATAACAACTTAGGCTTCAACTTCATGAAAGCCTCATTGGACTAAGTCAACAGACAGTAGTTGCAAGACAGGATACACCTGGATAGTATACCAGTCCATCACAGGCCCATGCACGCCCAGCAGTCCATCACATACACATCAGTCAATCACAGGACATGCATATACATCTCAACCCATCATTGGCACACATATGTATACTGGGAAAAATGTTAAGAGAAATTAACCAAGAAAGAGCAAGTCTTTGGACTGGGAGGAAATTGGAGCACCCAGAAAACACCCCTCTCTCTCCCTTGCTGCCCAGTACAAGGGTTGGTGTTCAGCAGGACACATTTCCATAAACTGTCAACAGCTGAAGGCTATGGAAATGGCATAAACTAACAAGATAAGGTTTAATTGAATCAAGGTTTTTAACTGAAGGAGACACATCAAATCTGCTGGATTCCAGACCTTGAGGCCCGGAGATGGAAACCTCTGATTATAAAAAACACATATAAAAGAAACAGAATTGCATGAAAGAGAGTAGCATTTGCAGACAAACTGAGGCAACAGAATTTTGGTGCTTAACGTAACTGATCAATATGATATATTGCTGCAAAAACATCTTCCTACTAAGGTAACTCTAGAGTGTCAAGCAAATGGAGTTTATAACACAAATTTAGGAAGAAAACTGGATCTCTCCTATCTCGCCTACTTCTGTTTTCTTATGTGTACACTGTATATCTCACTTCATGAGCTTCCCTTTGTACATTTTTCTCACACCCCTCCAACCACCTTGTCTTCACAGCTTACAGAAGCTCCCTTGCTCATTCCTTGCAAAAGTGAGGGGGGTGTTCAGTCAGCTTCATTATTACATTTAGGCATCCATTCCTTCAGTTAGGTGAGATACAGAAAACAACCTCTAATTCCTTTAATCTCTTTATCACATTTATTAGAATCTGATTGAACTACTGAAATACAGTTTGCCACATAATGTGTGATGTCTGGAAGGAATTCTGTCCAGTTACTTACGTGCCTTGGAAAATGCTGCTTCAATAATTTACATGAGAATGTAAGAAAGAGGCAGAGCCATTCTGCACATCTTGCTCATATGATTACTAACAGCTAAAATATCCAATTTATTTTTCTATTTGATCTTTCTAAGTACATCCTGGTTTACTTTAACCAGGATGTACTTAGAAAGATCCATCTCAAGTCTTTCATTCCCATCTGAGGTAATGTAGAAAAAGATTCCGGAAAGAAAAATGTTAAGCAGCTTAATTAAGAACAAGAAAAAAAACACTGTGATTCAAACTGTTCTGAAATGTATTGTGATTTGTATCGAGAATGAATATTTAAATATAATGCACAATTTGATAAATCCTGAGTTTTTAAAAGAGCTAATATGGAGTCTGAGCACAGGCCAAAACAAATTTCCAACATCAGTGCTATATGGACTATCTAAAAATCATCCCTAAATGCCAAATCTCACATGCCCCTCAAGAATATCTCACTCATGGTATACATTTTTTAAGATCATGCAGGTTCTGTTACAAAGCCATTTAGGTTACAACAGATACAGAAAGGTCTTCTAAAGCGGGAAAGCACATGGAGCTTGTTCTAGCCACTCCTCTGCTTTTGTCTGACAGTTCTGAAATAAGTGGCAGCTCTGGAAGAAAGCCACGCAGACCTATTAAGGTTTTTGAATTAGACAGGCGAGTAAAATAAATCACTCTAAATGAGGATACCTTCTGCAAATACATTTTGGGTGTCTTAAGTATTTTACCACATGCAATAAAAAGCTGATGCACCATAATGTTGTAAAAAAGGTCTTAATAAACTCAGGTCATTTGGTTTTGCTTGAATGCACCATGAATTCCACATCAATAGCACGCTGTGATGTTTTATCTCTTTAAATTAAAATGATTGGTAGCTAAGATAAAGAGATGCAATGTCTATGCACACATTTCAAGGACTGGGATTAAATGGCCAATTCCAGATCAAACATTTCTGCTATTCATAAATACATTAACGATTAGTTTTATAATGTTAATGATGCATATTATCTTAATTTACTAATCATTCTATATAAATGAGTTTCTTTTTATATAATATTAAGAACCTATAAATTAAACATGGCAAAAATACAGACCAACTTTTCACGGCTCAGAAAAATTGTAAAAACTGAAGAAACTGGGGAAAAACTAAAAATGAAAATGTAAATTTACGGGCAGTGTACATGAAAGGCTAAAATTTAGCATTCACAATATATTTCAAACATTACAATGGGCAAACAACTAAACACTCCTCAAATACTTCTATCACACTGTAATGGTCAACAACCAACTTGGTGTCAATCTGTCTACAGAACATAATAATACTTCCTTATAACCCACATAACGCTAACAAAATTTATAATTGCAGATATTTCGTCTCAGTGACATTAACTTACTAAATATCGAAGGAATTATGCTCAAGAACAACATTATTGACCCTGTTGCACTGTACATATCCTCCACTTCAAACATTACTCCAGGACAACATAAACACTATAAGAAATACAAAAGACTGCAAAAAAATTAATGTCTGAAATTCGGAAAGATACCTAGACAGAATACAGTGACTTTGGTAGTTGTTCAGAGATGCAAAATTATGAACATGTAATCCACAACATTAAGCCAGTTTAGTAAACAGCAATACACAGGTGACACAAAGGATTTATTGGATTTGTAAATTATCACTGCATTGGATAAAAAGTTTTAATTGTTTCTCACCAATAAGTGTGTATAAATATGTTCGTTAATTTACTTATTTTTCATACATTTCAGTGCACAAAAATGGTGGTACTATCTGAAAATATGTACACATATTTTGGGGCTTCTGATTAGCTTTGACTTAAAACTTATACTTAATTAACAAACTATAAGCAATTATTGATCCTTTAGAAATGTAAGGCTTTGCAAACATTTAGGTATTGGCATTCATAGAGATTTAACATTGTTTCTTAAAATAAGTCTTTGATGTAGTGTAAAAAACCTAATTTGCACATTTACATCACACTTAATGAAAAGTGATGAGGGAATGGAATAGCGTGATCCTTATTTTTGCACAGTTAGTTGGAAAACAGCAGTAACACCTAGATATACTATACAATATATCAAGGTGATTGGTATCAGATCTACTTCTACTTCATTGGTGGTTAACATACTCCACCTGCTGGTCATTTCCTGGCATGTCCTTTATATTAGGATGATGCAGTCCTAGAATTATGTTATCATCACCACATTTCACAGTCCAAACTTTATTCTTTTTAGGCAATCTATCACAATTTTTAAACTATCTTTAAAGCATTACCATATCCTGAATTACTGATCACCTCATCAGTGATTTGGTACATTAAAATCAGAATTTCATCATGTGCCGGCATAAGTTTAATCAATATCCTGCTAACTTTTAATGGCTTCATATAAAATACAAAGCTCATGTATGTTGAGAAAACATTTAATGACATGATACAAAGCAACGAGCTATAAGCTGAGGAGCTCTTACAGGATTCTCACAGCTGTTTATTGCTTTTTCATGTCAATCTTAATTTCCAAATATAGATCAGACCCAAATATGGTAAGACAGATAGTCTACTGAAAACAAATGACATTAGCACAATATAAAACTTCAAATATACACTTTCCTTTATATATACTGCAGTTCAATTTACCTCAGAAAAACAAGTAAAATAAATCATATATATGAAAAGGATACTATTATTAAAATGTCACAAACTTTATATGTTGCTTTCCGTGTCCAAAATTAGTATAGCTTTTGGGAAAGGGCTTAATGCATGATTCCATTCCATTATCCTTGCTGCACAGTACCCACATTTCAATGCATTTTATCTAACAAAGTTAATTCGGTCGCCATTTTTCTCTACACAAAATGAGCACATAATTGCACAGGCGCATTTAAAATCAAATCATTGCCTGAGGTGTTGACATCACCAGGAAGGGTAGATTTACGTGGCTCAAAATCTACTTTTCATTTGCTATACCAAGTGAGAAAACTTTCAAATATGTCCATGACCATTTGTTTAAAGCTCAGAGAATAACCAATCTGTCTAGCAGCGATGGTTACAGTACCCTGCCATTAAAGTTTTTAAATCTGCACTGACATAGGCTGTGTTATTTATACATGCCAATAAAATGTTCACAAAACAATAGCCGTGAAATGAGGTAGAGCAATATGTTTTGAAAGCATTAGACCTGAAAAACCATTTAAGCTGAAAAAAGAAAACTCAACTGTTTTTTAAAAGCCATAGATCAATATATACGATATAATTTCTTCAAACAAAATTTTCTGTATTTCATAACTGATAAAATGTAATGCACAATACAGATAGAATGATAGTCATAATTGAAGATTTAATAAGTTATAGTACATCTTCGTGAGCATACACTGTGCATAATGATTAACCCAGGTACACAGGGGCACTGTGTGTGCATGAATGAAGTAAACACTTACTGGAAAGAGCACAATGGGGACAGTGAGCGTCACAGCTGTCAGCACTGCCAGGCGGACCAGCAGAAGCAGAGTATCGAACTTGTACACTTTGGTGAATGTGTGAAGCAATTCTGCCTCCACATTATCTACAAGAAAAGGAAAATAAGTCCGCAATGCAAAAGCAACACTTGGTAAAGGACACTCAAGATGGCACTATTAAAAACATCTCACAACATCCTAGAAACAAAAATCCAGCTCAAAGATTATAACCAACACTAAAAAAAGGTGTTCTAAAATAAATGCATTTTTTAAGTATTAAAAAAAGCAATCTTTCTAAAATTCAAAGCTTACAAAAAATGAATGTCAAATGGGATTCAGAGAGCACCAGGAGTGGGCCTATTGACAATGGCTTACCATAGAATGTAAGGTATCCAAAAAGGGCTGACAATAGGTACATGATGAGCATTGCAGCTATAGACAGGTTGGAAACATTCTGCATCTTTTTCCGTGAACGACTACAGAATGAGAGAGAAAAACAGAACGCAGTTATTGATTTAGAAGACGTACTGTACATATGAAAATACTGTCAATCTATTACAGTACTTTGAAAAGTAACTAATCAAATATTTGTACAGTAAGTCATTTGTATTACAGTGAATATTTGAATACACAGAGAATATTGTTTATAGAGGGATATCATTGAAAATGAACATGCACTTAGATAAAAATCTAGTTATTAAATTAGCTTACAATTCTTTCGGGATTTGTTAAAGCAATAAATACAAAATGGAATCTTATTGTTTTTCAATACTGTACATTATTTAGGATTTTATCCATCACAGAACTATTCATAAGATTATTTAAGATACAACGTCTGAAACTAATAGAAAAAACATTCAGTATCCTTAATGAGTATTTTAATTCCCTGTATTTGAACACTGTAAATTCATTTTAGAGGAAACATTACATATATAGTTTAGCTATTATAATTAACAATTCTTTGCTTGATTAAGAATTGAAGTAAAAAAAATGTTTCAGCTGCTGATGTTATAATGACTTGTCTAATGCGCGAGAGAATAATGGCTATGTTTGAAAGAAAGGTAGATGTTCTTACCCTTTGAGTTCACTGTAGATTGGCAAGACCTCTGGGTGACACACAAATGCAAATGCCAAGATGGGTACCGTATAAGCAGTCTGGAAAAAAAGGGGAATGGCAACACATACTAAGTAACCAGGTATGCAGCTATGACCAGAAGAGTCTTTAAATAGAGTCTTGGGTGGCCTACATACCTGTGAATTGAACACAAAGTATTTTGGCTTGCACATGTCTTCCTTGTGAGGTTCAAAGTGTACTCCATTGGCAGGTACTGCACCCTCAGAATACTGATCTACATGAACACTTGTGCCCCCATGAGAGAACTCCACATCACCGGCATCCTGATTGACTGTTCCATTGAGTAGCATGTATGAAGGCATTGGCACAGATACATTAAAGGTTTGGTTTGCATAATGGTGGTCCAATAAAGGTAGTGGGCAAGGGATCTGAGATTTTTTGTAGATCAGCTAGAAACCAGAATAATAGCAGAAAAGACAAAGAATGCACAAATAAATATTTACACATAATCATATATGATAGTCAAGAACATTCAGTCATTTCAAACTTGCCCTTATACTAGATAAACAGATTTTTAATGTAACTTTAATACTGCATTTCACTAAGTATTATATATAATGAGACAGAATATTATGAGAAATTCAATATAGATAACTATATTTTTCATAAATGCTTATATCATTAACTATGTTAATATGCAAAATATGCTACTTACAACTACCAAGAAGAACACCATACACGTCAAAGAAAAGCCACTGGTATATCCAAGGTAGCCTATTCAGGAGACACATAGGTAATATTAAAGCACAGATACATCAAACAAACAAAATAAATCAGATACTGTATAATATAATCACTGCTACTTACCAAGATTTTTGAGTAATGAAAGTGGAAGGATAATGCCAAATGACACAAAAATCACCAGGTAGTTTCCATTTAGGTACCACTCACTAGGAAACATAGAAAAAAGCAGAAGAGATAAATGTGTAGGTAAAAAGAAAAAAATAACACTTTAAAATGACATAAATTAATAGTTTGAGTTTGAGAAAAGGGTTAATTTTGGTTTGTTTTTTCTTAATCACAGAGAATTTTACCAGCATGTGTGTGATTAAATCCTGCAAAAGGATCAGAAGCAAAAATAGTTATTCTATTTGATTGTTGGGAAAGTGTGCATTTTCCAACATTGCCTTATGAAAGGTTTCAAAAGGGACACCCATAATGATACTCATAGCATCAGGAAATTAATTTATCCTGAGCTCAAAAATTCTTTTAATCAAGAAACTCCTTTTAAAACTGTTAGAAATGTTTATTTCAAGGTAACGTGAATCCACTTTTAATCAATAATTGTGCTTTTCATGTCTCTGCAGTGTCTGAGATGTCTCCTCATTTACTCTAAAAGTCTTTGATTTAAGCATGAAAACTACAAGCTGCTGCTGGAAAGCACTATATTTAATTAAATCTAGGACTCCAAGTTTTAAATATTCAAACTTTTCCACAATCTTTCATGCATTTACAGTGTTAGAAGCCACGTAACAGTGCAAATACATGTCTGAGCATGAATGTAACACACACCTTAGTTTTAACATTTACCCCCAAGCAATTCTATTCACTATTCCTTTTTCTTGCTGTTAATTAAGTTATTTACAGGCCTTAAATGTACTTCTGTAAGACCACAGCTTTGTGGATCTTAGTCTTTACTTTCACTTTTGTTTTCTATTGTAAATGCACTAAAAGTAAAGAAACACACCCCCACGGCTTTTTATACAATGCCCCTTCGTTAAATTTTCAAAATCAGAGTTTAGGAAAAAGTCACAATTTTTACATCCACCCATTCATTATCAGACAGCTGTTTATTCCTGGTAAAAGTTGCAGTATCCCGGAGCCTATCCCGGAAGGACAGAGAGCAAGACAGAAATATAACCTGAACGCGATGCCAGGTCATTGCAGGGCACAAAGGACAAAGGGGCAATTTAGAAACACCAATTAGCCTGATCACCATGCCTTTGACGGGTAGAAAGAAATCTGAGTACCTGAAGAAAACCAACAGAAATATGGGGAGGACATGAAAAACCCCAGATAGAAGGTGCCTCAGGCCAGAATTAAGCATAGGACCTAAGAGTTGTGAGGCAGCAGCTCCACCAATTTATTTCTGAGTAAATTAAGTAATTGATATTTTAGTATGAATTAAATTCGTTTTACATTTTTAACCTACTTTGGCAGGTCACATTGAGCATAATGTTGCCTGCTTTTGTTACATGAGTACTATAAATGCATTTGTCACATAAAAAAGTGACACCAAGAGATTTAATTATAGTATTCATTTATCTCATTCAGCTACAGGGTACAATAATGAAGAGATGTATGGTAGTCTTCCTTTACTTCCCTCTCCTTTCTTTTGCACGTTAAGTCACCTGCAGTGTGTGTTTGTGTTAAAATGCCACAGTAACGGTTCCTTCAATCTAGATAACTGTGCAAGTCAATGCTCACCCCCCTCTTGGCCTGACACCAACTCTTCACCCCATGGGCGCTGACTCCACAGAATCTGGTATATTTTTATCTTTTTCATTTTTTCTTCTATATTTATCATTGTCACCTGGTCCTTAGGTTTTTCTCTTCAAGACTGGAATGGAAGTATGCCCAATCATTTTGTTCACAAAATATAATTTCTTTAGCAAGTTTCCTGCAATCTGAATTTCGACATGTGAGGGCCATCCATACCGTCCAGGTCAAAGCCACAGATGAAGTGTACTACTGCATGTGGCACTGATGACTTTTACTAAACTCCAACTTAAAATTTGTAATAAACATATGACGATATAACTGGTCAAAGCTAAGAGTTTAGCCAGATATGAAATGAACAGATAATATGGTTGTCAGTATCACAAATGTTAAATGCATACTGAATATGAAAAGTCTGAAGCATTTAATTCTATTAACACACACAAAAAAGGAAAAGTATGGTAATGCACCTCCACTATGTTTTTATAAGAATTGTTTCACCCGCACTGATGAATATTTAAATGCCTCTTTTGTTGACATTTTTACATACTGTAGGTCAGAGACTCCCAATCCTTGTCCAGGGAACACACATGCTGTTGGTTTACTGTATGTTTCAGCTGAGCTCTCAGTTGCATAGTTGAACCATTAATTACATAATAATAAGATTACTTGAACTGTTATCTTTGCCTTTTAACTACTGCATTTCAAAAGTAACCTCAAGTCAAATTTAAAGTTTTAAAATAGAAAAAATGTTACTTCAATTAAAGCTTCAATAAAGCAAAGAGCTCAACTGGTACAAAACTTTGATTTAATAAACATGGGGTTTAGACAGCCCTGACAATAAACCTAATTATCAGCGCCATGAGTAAACTCTAGGCACTTTGTGTAACACAGCTATTCAATGGTAAACCATATTTCTTTTTATATTTTAAAGCATGCAGTGGAGAATTACTAATTGTAAAAGCCATTTCATTAAAAGGGTAAAATGAATAATAAACCTACAGTATCTAGCAGATAAGAAATGCTATGCTGTGACACAAATTTGAATCACCTGGATAATGAACACAAAACTAATCTGTCTGTGAATATAAAATTATTTTCAGGGATTTGAATGCATACTTACCCAGAATTTTCCTCAAGTCCCATAAATGCCCGAATGACTTCAGGAAGCTCATACTTTACAATGAAGAGGTAGCTTGACATCGCTACGAAACAGAAACACTCCATTTCAATGTGAACGTAATAAATTAAATATGTCCTATGCAATGCACATGCTGGCTGTAATACTGGAGATTTTTGTATAAACTGTATTATGTTTATATTCCAGTATGTCACTTCTACCTAAAGTGAAAAATAATCCAAAAATAATCCAATTACATTATATTTTAAGAATAGAGAAAAGGGGAGTTTTATGACTTAGCTAAAATGTTTCAATAGATACAAACCATATTTAGATGGCTGAAATTATCAGACCTTTTGCTATGATTTAAATTTAAATTTAAATTTATCATTTGCTATATGGCCTTTTAAATGTGTTAAATGTTATTTGCATTTTCCCCATTAAATAGCTAATAAATATGACAAATGTAAAGAACTGTGTTGAGAAAATACTTAGAAAGTAAGGTGGATCTTTCTTAAAGCCAGATTTAAAGCTTTATATTTTTGTGTGAAGCTGTTAAACAACTTCATTTTATATTTTGTCATGTGGAATTATATTGGTTTTAGAACTTACGTTTTTGTAATGATTAATTGCTATCCCTAATTTTCTAAGATTTTAACATTTTAATATAAGCATGACACTGTAATATAATGCATGACAAAGTATTTTGTATCCTCTCAAACTCTGCTCATCAATTATCCTTTGGAAATTGATCTTATTATCTGTATTAAAACTTCAAACTTTGTAAAATTAAACAATGAGATCAAATCATAACTGAAAATACTACTTTAATTAGGACTCCACTGAACAATAAAATAGTGTAGTAATGCTAGTTTTGGTAATGGATTAGAAAGGTACATACTGTACTTTAAAGATGCCCCTTACCGCCAATATTCTGGAGCGTTATAGATCCAAAAGCAGCAATTTTTCCTGGCCATCCAAAAGCCTTTTCTCCTAGTTTCTCATATATTAAAGAGCCTGCAGAGACAATTAAAAAATGTTGTAATGAATCACTAATAACACATCAAATAGAACCTGAGAACACAGGACCATTAGAACAGAGAACATTACCACATACTTGTCTATTAAATGTGAGAAACATACCTCCTCCTTTTGATGTCTGCAGTAAAAGATGCACAGAATACAATGATAATATTGCTACTCCCAGCAGAAGAACTCTATAACAAAGAAAACGTCATTTAAAAAAAAACCAAAATTGCTAATTTTTCACGCACATTGTATAAACTCATTTGTACAACCTTTGCTATAGAATTTGTTGTTTTTGTTTACAGTTTCAACGAGCTTGAAACTTGTTTCAACAACCATATCTTTTTTCTTTGTCTGTGTTAATAGCACATTTGTTTTTACAAAAATTAAGGATAACTTTATTTAAAAGGTGGTGAAGCTTGTACCATACTCTCACAACACTTTATGCAAAGCACGGCCTCCTGTTCTTAGTTTTAAACACACTTCCATCTAGTTTCCACGTGTGTCCACTAATTTATGTCTCAATGTTGGCTCTTGTATAAGAAATGAAAGTGTCAATTTTGTTTACAACCACATTATCAATTATTATAATTATGTAGCTCTAAGATTAGGTTAGTTACCTGCATATTCCTGACAGAAAATACATTTTTATCTGTTATTTATAGTATAATCCCTCGAACACTTTGAAACAGTACAGATCTCCACTAAAGTGAAATGATTATATATGTATAATAAACAAACTAAATGGTACTGTAGATGGATCCTTTAATCAATAACAGCAAAGGAAAGGCAAATGTTTTCTCGTTTAGTTTGTACTTGTTCTTAATTTTTGTGGTTATACAGTACATATTCACCATTTGCTGATAATATATCACCTTAATATTGCATGGTTCTTCCAATCAAAATGTAACACAGATCCTGTTCACTTGAGATGACAGGTGGCAGGAGCACTGAACAGCTGCTTTAGTAACGGCAAAAGTAAAGTGTCAAAAACGCTGCAGATCACTACACTGTAGTCTGAAATTATTTTTGAGACTGTTATTTAACTTTTCTTGTTGAAAAATTCCATCTAGGGAAATTAATTGATCAAATCCCTATTTGTAATGAATTCTTAATGGATTATATCAGGAAAGGAAACTCTGGATAAAAGGGTTTGGCATTATGTTTTCATGATGACACGGGGGGGCTTTAGACTAATGACTTTATTTTTGGGAGATCCTGCCAGAGCTGGTAGGTGTTGATCTTGTAACTCTGTCAAACTCACCCCAGAGAACATAATATGATGAACAGTATTTGATAGAGAGGGTTCATGACATGTGGTCCTTTTCACCTATAGAGTTTCTCTTTTCCTGGACTAAAGTCTGATGACAAATTTCAGTTGTTCACTAGTTCAAGAACTTGTCACATACAGTCTAATATTCCCATGGGATGTCCTAAATTTCCCTGTTCCCCTTCACTTCTGTAATGAACAGGAAATTTAGAAAATACTCAGAAAGCCAATTATGAATAAATGGAACTCTCACTTTAAAACATTGCCAGATTTATTAATGGGACTATGCACATTCTGGAGATATAGTTGTGCAAGGATTAATGTACAAAAGAGAATATAAGAATTTTTTTCTACTTTCAGCATGAACAACAAAGATTGTCTGGCTATATGGTTTTACTGACTTTTTACCAACTGTTCTTCTGTTTCCCATTATTTAATACGCTATTTAGCCATGAAATACATGATATGCCTTCAGTACTTACCAAACCAGTTTTGAATTCCTGAGGATTAACACTGAGTGACAGAAATTCAGCAACAGTATTGTCTGAAAAAATGTCAATGGCTACATGATATTTTTGATTATTAGACAATCTAAAATAGAAGTTGGTTTCAGAGGTTGGGTTTGTGAGGTATGCGAGAATGAGCCTTATAAAGATACCTAAGGATGTATTAATAGATGTTGAAGTACCAATTGACTGATAGGTTGACTTCCGCAAGAAAATATCTTATAAAGCTTGCAAATGCCCCCATTTAACTTACATGAAAATGTGTTTAATCGCCAAAAACTCTTCTTTATATAACAGTCTTATGTTTTCATGTCTTTGAAAACAAGGCCAAACTCCACAGCTCTGGTTTTTACATTTTAGGCAGTGTAATGGGCCTCACAGAAGCCTAGAATTCACTCTCACCTGCTCCTCTCAATCAGGAGAGTGTCTGCCATACACTGTGACACACAATCACCCTCAACAGTTCCAGTGGATCACTCAGCACTACTAACACCCAAAGTATGCAATGGGTGTAATAAGCAAGTGCTAATCTCTCACATTTTTAGAAGCACTGGCTACATACAGCTCTGCAGTATGTTCCATAAATTACTAGTAATGCTTGCAGTCTCTAGCAATATACCATTATAGCAGCCACATCAGCAGAGAAGCTAGTCTGCTGATGGTCTATTACAGCCGAGTGGAAATATACCAGCTTCTGTTTCAGTGTTGCAGGGTTATTCTTGGAGGCTTTTAATATGTGAGGAACATCTTTTTTTATTTTTCTATTATTTATTTATCCTTTTCAGTGCACCTTATGTGCTTATGTGTTTTTGTGCATCTTATATACAGTATACATTTTCAACTGCATTAATATCCAACTACATATCCCTGGAACTGAAACACATTTATGAATAGCCCACAAGGGCAAGTCAATGGCTATGTTGTAAATGATATATATTAAATTGTTACAAGACAAGTTCTGTGAGAAATCTAAAACAACTTCTGTCATTTTTGCAGTTCTCTATTCTCTTACTTTGTTTTTTTTTACAAACATATATTTATGATTGCAATTTTGCATTCAAAGCAGTCTAACAATGAGTAACCATTTACAAAGTCATCCCAGAAAAACTTTGTTTTAGCCACATTACATTACTTTCCTTTAAAATGACAAATTTAAGGAAAGCTGTTCGGCAAAAGGCTTCTATTGAGTTCATTTTCCACCCACACAAACACTAACCTTCCATTTTCTAATCTAATATGCAAAGACAGCTGCAAGAGAGAATAAAAATTCATCCTAAATATTTGACAGTGAAAGAAGAAAAAGAACCAAGCAAAGTTTATTTCAAAATTATGTTAAACTGTCGAATCCGCACCCCCACGGATGAGCTATATTGCCAACCTTCAAACTGGATTTCAACTTGTACACAGATCAATATTTATTGTAAACTGTACTGTCTATATGACAGGGGACATGTTAATAAACTATAAACTATTTCCTTCTGGCTGAACAGATAAGTCTGGAAAGAAAATGAAAAGGAAACAGACATTGCCTATTAAACTATTAAAGAGAAAGATGAAACTCAACCATGCAAGGGCATTTAAGAGATGTATCATTTTTATACTTTGTCAATTATTGCTCAGGCCTCCACATAAAGAACTAAGATAACTAAGAAGTATAACACAATTAAATTATTTTAACATTCACAATGGGCAATTTCATCTTAACATGTATATGTTTTGTGCCTCCCTCAAAGATATAAATAGCTCACCAGTTGGGTATACAAACCACTGTACATATAGAACTAACACTATGCAGGAAGTCATTCTGGGAAATTGGAAAGTATAGATGCCTCGGTGGAAAGATAATAAAGGTATTTGCATAGTCCACAATATAAAATTAACCTGCTTTTATTGTTTTAAATATGTACCTTATGTACAATTAATTGATGCACAACATCCACTCCCTGGTATTCCACCCATTATACTTAAAAACACAAAGCATATTATTATTCATAGGCCATTAACAAATATCTTTCAAATCACTGAAGACAGTGGTAATTTACACCGACTGGAAAATATACAATGTAGTGTCCTAACATAAAAATAACAACACATCTAGACTCAATAATTATATGTTTTTAGGCTACATACTTAACAATTAAGAGATTCAATTAAGTGATAAAATGTTAAAATTGTACCATGCATCTTTTAGACCTCATTTTAGAATATTGTCTACAATTTTGGTCATCCTTTAACAAAAGCTGTATTCCTGCTCCGGAATCTGTCCAGTGAAGAGCAACCACATACATTCCTAGGTTTAAAAGACTGCTCTACTCTGATAGCCGGAAAGGCAGAATCTTTTTCAGCTTGAACAGAGAATACTACAAAGAGACCTGAAATAACTAAATAGCACTATTACTGCAGTATGCAAAAGCTACAAAGTCAACCCAAAGGACTTCTTCAGAATCAACAATGAAACTAGAGGACACAAATGGAAACTAAATGGAAGTACATTTAAAATGGAGCAAAGGAGGAACTTTTTAAAGAAAGGAATTTGAGAGGTGGAACAAGGTCAGGAGAAGCCATGACATTGAATCTGATGCTCTGTCTTCAGTATCAGTTAGATGAGCAGGTCAGATGAATTAGCTACAGATAAGTTAATAGGTTATTCAGTCTTCTTTAATCTTCAACATTACTAATATTTCCAATCACATAACTTTTAATATGCAGACATGAATGCAGAAAACGTTTAACACACTGCTAATTGTATTAGAACGCTTCTCTACAGTCCCTTGAAACACTAACCTCTCTCCCATGTTACCACCTTATGTGAAAAACTTTATGTTGTGTGAATATATATACTTAATACAAAAGATCACGAGAATGGGACTTACACAAACAGCAGAATTCCAGTGTTGGCCATGGCGTATGACAGACCAAGGATGCCACTCCCCATAATGGCATTGCTCAAGTTAAATACTGACATCCCAAAGGAGGTGGTCCCTGGGTGCTGTAAGCAGCAATAAAATGGATAAGAATGATAAGCAGTTGGAGTCAATTTGATAGCCATTATACAAAAAGTATATGAATCTATGTAGAAAAATACAAATATTATTACATATTCATCATGGCACTCTTCATAATTCTTCTTCAGCATTCCATTTGTAAGAAACTTCTGACTTTCAGCATCGTCTTCATCACAGTATTGGCTAAGAAGGATAAAAAATAAAATGTACTGATAAGCTAAAGAGGAGGACATACATAAGGAAAAGGAATAGTATTAACAAAGGTAAAGATGTTGGTGCGAATCCCTTAAAACCTGGCAGATCCAACATAACAGAAACTTTTCCTTTAATCCACTACACTAAACTGATAGATTTACTTTACTGGAATCTTTGGTTTTCTAACTGACATAGGAAAATTAGGAATTAGTGTGGCAAATTCAGAAGACCTACTGAACAACTTTTAACTAATCAAAGAATTGACATTAATTAATACGTTTTTAATTCCTTTCCCTGTGATAAGTGCAACAACAATGATAGACATACTGTATATAGATATTAGATATGTATTAATTTGAAACTACTTTATAAACAAGTACTAGAATTCATTCTTTAATATATAGCAATGTGTATTCATGCACAGAAAAACAGGGAATAATATATCCACATCATAGCTGAAACCCCGATAAATTCCAATTTAAATAAAACTGATAAAGGACTTATAACTCCATGGTGTCTGTTTTTAAATTCTATACAATTAGAAATGTGACGTCAGACATTGGTGTGACTTACCTATTAATTGTTACCTTCTCTGAATCAATAGGCTCGGTAAATCGGTCATCTAGGCTATCGGCACTGTCATCATCATGCTCAGTGCTTACTTTCTTAAGTTCCATTCGGTCCATGTCACCAAAAACGTCAGCTGAATGCTGCTTATTTAAAATCGGGGACAAATACACGATGTTCTTCTGCTTTGCTGTTTTTTAGCTCCTCAAGTTGTAAGAATATCAGGAGACAGCTTTCTGTGAAAAAAAGCCAAACAAAAAGTATCAGAAGCTATTCTAAGGGCTGGAATAATGGTGCAGATTCTCAATAAAGGAACTAGTGATGGAAGCCATAACCACCAGGACCTAGCCCTGTACAAACTGGACACAATAACCTATTGTGAAGATGATGTATTGATTGAACAGATGGAATTTCTTCCGTTCTACACAGACTTTACTTTCAGTCAGATTTTACTTATTTTCTTTTGTTTTTATTTACATGAATAGGTGGTACAACAAATGTTATCTATAAGTAGCTTCATAATTCATAATTAAACCCGACAGCTAAATTAGACAATGCTTACAAAGAATGTTTTATATCATATGAAATTAGTTTTAAAAGTACTCAACCATATGGCACAGATAAAAATTCAATCCCAAAACGCTATAGCATTATTTTCCTTTGTAATATAAGGTCACTTACTTAGCAACATTACTTTTGACTAAACTAAATAAATGTTTTCTGGTGTGATTAAGAAAAATATAAGGTTTATGACACAACAGAAACAATAATGACATCTGGGACAGGTTAAATTGTTCAAGTTCTTGTTAATTTACTGAAATAAGTATTAGTTTATAGAAGACATGAGAACATGTTGGTTGTACCAGACTAATTCCAATACCAAACAGTATGGTGCCTTCAGTCTTTGGGAGCAAACACATCCAGAGCAATTTTATGTGTTAACAGTAAGTTTTACATATAGGGATTTGGTCTTATCCATTAACTTTACAGTAATCAGGTTGCATATTGCAACCAACTGCAGCCAATCAAGATACAACAATTTCATAACCCACTTAACTTTTTTAATCAGTTCAAATCAGAGATGACTGAACTGGACCAAGGGTATTTGAGGGTACACCACAGACAGTGGATAGAGAGTCCTACTTTTTTTAATCAAATCAAACATAAGCACTGCAACTTTTTCTACACATCCAATGAAACAGATGTTTCAACAACCTTCTTGGTCTTGGTCCTTTTTAGTTTCTCGGTAAACATCTCATGAGCTGCACAAAGACTAATCTAATGTGGGGCTGTGCAATTTACATATTGTAATTTCAAAATGTTTGGTACATAGTTTTCTTTATACACTTTCTGCACATTGGATTTTAATATTCATTCAAGTTTCTTTTTCTAACCTAACAAACCACTTTTGAAATATTATTTTAAGCAAATTAATAACTAATATGACAATTCAACTGACAAGTGCATTCATTTTCACCCTTTACTGCTAGGCAATCAGCACAGAACACATATGCATTTTAACTGTTTAAGCAGGTATTTAAAAATATCAATGACACAAACGTGAGATGAAGGACAATCTTATCAGAGGTGAGCAGAAAAACAACCCTAACAGTTTTAACACCTGGTTAAATATTTGGAGCAAAAAGCAATTAAAAACGTCCGAATATATTTGTTTTCTTTAGGTATTTACGAATATTCCACTTCCACCACGATTTCAATGTGTAACGGAAAATACATTAATGATCCAATTACAGAGACAACAGGATAAAGTAATTTAAGATACATTATACTCTTCACTCATAGAGCAGATTCGCCGCTAGAGGGAGCTCGTTTGACAGGCTAGCTTGGCGTTTGCTACCAAAAGGTCGCAAAAAATGGAAAACGACCAAGTGTCGTTTTGAAGTTAAAGATAATAAAAATACACAGTGTGCAGTTGTTTAAACGTATATACTTCCACCACTGCGGGGGTTTGTGTTTTTTTTTTTGCCATCGTAAGAAGTGAAAATATAATGATTCGTCGATTTAAAAAAACTAAAAAAAACTTGTATACTTGTTAGCTTAAGCTATTAACGTAATGCAATTACCCCATGATTAATCGTTTCTCTCCCTTCTTTAAAAAAAAACATTTTAAATAAATGCTTTAACCAAAACATGTGCCTTTATTAAAATGGGAAATAAAATGATTCTATATGTTATGCATTATATCTAATGCAACAAGGTACTTCTTATAGTCATTCTGAAATCCAACCATTTATATCGCAATGCAGGATAAATATAATATTACTAACATTTCTTAGACAGATGTGTCTACTGTGTAGCACCTGAAAGAGGAAAACAAAACAACTGTGTACCAGTTCTCTTAGATTTGATATAGAGCCTAATCACAACAGATCAATAATAATCAATATGTAAGCTAGAAACAAACGTCGTAAACCACAACTAACTTGCTTTTGCACATTGAGTTGCAACACACTTGCACGTCACTAAGGAACAACTCAATTCTCTTTAGGCAGTGGTGGATTAGACTGAGATGAATTGCATCATACTGTTTTTTTTTTCAGTGCTGTTCAATAAAATAACATCAGCCACAAAACCAAAGACATCTGTATCTAGCTCGCAGTATAGCCCAGTTATGACAGCTTTAGTAATGAAGTGACAATTAAAAAAAAATCCCAACTGTGTTACGATCATGACCTCCTGTTAAAAAAACAAGTATGTTAATTTTAAAATTTGAATAAAAGTAATGCTCCAGTAATATTCTGCACTTTACGCACTCAAGTTGACCTTTTTTTACGTATCGAAAGCAACTAATCGAATTTAACTGTTTTGTCTGATTCAATTTTCATTAATTGCCTGTACACTGTACTTTTGCATTTTAAACATATTTCACATTTCTTTTTCTTTATTATAATATTGATGGTATTATAATATTGACTACAATTATACAAAAATACAATTTGCACCTGTCAAATTAGTCCATGCAGAGACTTCAAACTTTAATATATATGTTTAACTTGATTAAAATATAAGCCCCAAGTATATGCCCCGGGTCTTACCCCACCCCAATGGAACTGAAAATGAATTTCACTTTATAGTTTATATTATATAATAATAATAATAAATATAATAATAATAATAATAATAATAATAATAATAATAATAATAATAATATGGCGCTGCTATTTTCATAACGACGGGTATACACGGATATCTATTTTTATCAAATTGCCGGCACCAAATAGACACCGGACGTAATGTGCAATGTTCTCCGCAGCTGTTATGTTCTAATATTTGTGATATATTGATTTTATATTAAAATATATTGATTTTCTCTAAATTCACGTGCCATGCGACGAATTAACAACACATACGTAATACAATAACCTTTTGTTGTTTTCATACTCCGCTTTTTTGTAACTACAACTTCCTTTATAAGTACTAGAGAAAACTGTAAGATCTTAATCAAGGAATAACAAAAACATTTTGTCGATCTAAAACTTTTAGGAAATTAAAAGGTAACAGGGCAACACCGTTTACTGCTAAAACTGTAAAAATAAGCGCGATCTTGAGTAAGCAAAGCATAATATCTGCTAAATCACTTAATTTAACGAGCATTTTTCCTATCACATAAAAAACAAAGTGTAATCAAATCGGTTAAGTAACTTACAAATGTTAGAATAATTTCTAAATATAACATATAACAAGAGAAAATCAGAAAAGTATCCTTGCAATATTACAACTATCAAATTAAAGCACGAAACCTCAACATACAAATAACATTTGCTTGGAATATGCAATAAATATACCTCATAAAGGTATCCTCGGCAAATTTTCCCGTAGGTACTCTGAAATGTGGATTTGGGACGACCAAATTGACTCTTCACTGACAGCAAAGGAAAGCTAATTCATTTAATCCAGACATGTGAAGGGACATTCTTTAAACACAAGTGGGAGGGCACCCTATGGACCAATCATAGATGCGTCCAAATTTGTAACCCTTCATTTGCGTCACCAATAGAGAAATCACATCCATTTCAAAACTCCATCAGAGATTAAACATCAGGATTGCACCGGCTGCTGTTTGCTTTGTGGGGTTGGAGGGCCAAAAACCTGTGTTTCTCTACAGTGCCTTCTAGCAGTCAGTGCCATTGGCAGACACGGGAGCCAGCTGTTGCTGTTATTGGAATCGATTCAATAAACCATATTTACTCTAATTCTCTCAGGGGCAAATGGGTGTTTCTGAGGGCTGTGACACAAGTCTCCAATCAGATTCTACTACTCTATTTGTCACTGGATAGAATAACTTAATTTTTTACATTTTTTTTACTAGAGAATTAAAAAAAATAATGTTTCATTCTTGCTCAAACTTAATCTTTTACAATTGTAATAGTAGTAATAAATGTGTAGCAAAAATGTAAATTCTATAATTTAATCACACTCTTTTCCTCCTGACACCAAATGCAGTAATGAAATAACAAAAAGCAATAAAGATTTTGAAAAATATTTTCTTATAGATTAAAAAAGATAAAAAATATGGTATGAAAAAGTACATTGAAATACAATAAACAAATTGCACCAATTAGCAAAATCTTGTAAAACTGTTGAGTTCAGATGTATTCCTTTAGAAAATGAAAAAGGTCACATTTAATCTTCTCATTAATATTCAAAGAAAAAAATAACAAAAAATCAACATGCAGTATTGGATTACTCTTTAAGTTATAGATTTGCTGTAAAAAACAATTGGTACAAATACGAACATCTTGTATCAATAATTCCCATTTTGTAGCAGCGTTCAAATTATTGCTCCATCCAAATCACCCAATGAAATCACACATACTGACCATGTCATATAAACTCCTGTTCGGTCTGTCATCCAGTGCATTTAGCTTACTCTTCAATCTGCTCATCATCCACAAGTGCACTGCTTATATTTAACACCTGTGAACATCTTTGGACCAATCAACTGTTCCCCAAGACTATCACAAATGCATAACCTTTGGACCATTAAGCTCTACTCTTAACCTCCTGCTGATGGAGAATCTGTATCCTAGGAAACAAAGCTGTTATCTGATGGGGACTTTTCCATACCCTTATCAGATCTGCACTAATCATTTTGTAAACTAAAGAATTTAATCGTTACAGTTTTTTTTTTACCAAACCATTGTTTCAAACAATATTTCCTTTGTGTTATTAAACTTTTTGTAAAATGTAAACCACTTGAGAAAATCATTACCGAGTAGAATCTACATACAGTCATGCTTCAAAAGACATATTTCACCCGAAGAAATATTAAATATTAACATTGCAATCTAAAACAGGATGTCATCAGGACACGTTGCGTATCTGTTCCCGACTAAAATGGGACTAAAGAAAGGCTACAAACCAGACGAGACCGTTCAAACCATCTAGCCCCTGTAACAGCAATAATTTACATTATAATTCAGAAAACAGCACAGTAACAGTGATTAAGATATCTTTTTAATACTAAATAATACACATACACATACAGTATCTATTATTTTTTGTTTTTAACTCTTTACTTGACCAGTTAAGTCATTTGCAATGAACATTTACAATGATGACCTGGAGAATAACTCTTATATAAATATATACAGTAGATATGCACATTAACAGAAGCAAATTGAGTGAAGTACCTTGGTCAAGAATACAACCAGGTATCCCATCTAACATTTGGACCAACAGCAAGAGCTGCAGGCATTACCATCCATCCATTGTCCAGCTGATTTATTCAATTTAGTGTTGCGTTGGCACCAGAGCCGATCCTGGCAAGCGACAGGCGCAAGGCAGGGTACACCTTAGCAGCACTGCAGGGCAGACACAAACAGACATGTACACACTCACACCAAGGTCTGGAATGTTCCTGGAAGCCAAATAATCTACCTCACAAACACTGGGGGAAAATACAAGCCACGCAGATACTGTAGCATCCAAGGTGTGGAAATGAAACCTGGGCCCCAGCGCTGTGAGGTAGCAATGCTTAACACTGTGACTCCATGCTGCTTATTTACAGTAAGTCTTATCTATGTATACACTACACTGTGTAAGTTCTTAACTTTATTTCGCAGTAGATTAGTTGAACCTATTTTGTACAGATGATTATTTGTTGCTGAAGGGTATTTGTGGCTAATAAATCTGCCTCTCAGAAGTCTTCTTCTGAAAAGCAAATTAAATTTAAAAGTTTAGCAATAAACAGAAGGAAGGACTTCTTGGAATTACTGTAGTTTCCACTTTTCACAAATGGCAATTTGTTCCTGTTTTGATCCTTTTACAGTTTTGAGTTAGTATGGCTGGAGCAGGCAGCAACAGAAAAGCTGGGCAGCTAAAAAGATTGTTTCAATTCCTTCATGATATGCAAACCCATCGCAGGAGAATGTGATTCGATGACTGTACTTCACCTAATAAACAGTTCAGCGAGTTCATAGGCACACCTTCCACAAATGCAGTTCAGCACAGTCCAGTATTCATGCATCATAAACCAGATTTTTACTGGAAACTGTTCCTATGACACACACTTTTTATGTTTTTGCTGCACAAAAACAAAATATCTGTAAATATTTTAAGAAGTGTAGGCTTTAAGCAATTAAAAGTGTTTGTTTTAGCTCTATCAATTGTTTTGCAGTTTTTATCACTGATATTTTTAGTGCCTGTACTGTATCTCTTGGTTATGAAGCTTTATTAAGCATTGGAACATTCAGATGTTATATGACATTTTAATTGTATTCTGTTTAGTTCTGTCTTTCTTTTGACCCTGAATATATTCTTTTAAATTATGAGGAATAAATTATTTTACTTAGATTACATAGTATGCATGCTGTATTTCTAATTCCTATATTAACTACTCTTTTGTAAAAAATGTGTCTAAACATGAATGTATGAATACGCACAAGTCTGCATAGCCAAAAAGTTAAAAAACAGGGCTGGTGAAAACAAGAGAAATCCTAGAAAACAGATTCCTCTAGAATTCCCCCTTTACTGTATTCTGTACACAGTTTTGTGAGATACAGTATTATCAGTAACTAGTTTCTCAGAGTTAAGATATAATGTCAAGTTTATTTGAAACTCTGAAACCCGAGCATCTTATTGAAGAGGACTGTATAACGAAAAGAAGACAACATAACTGACAAGGAGTTTTTTTCTCACAATGTTATGATAAATACCAGGCATTCTGACTTCATGTGTCAAGACCCTAACACTTAAAATTATAACAGGTTTAAGTGAGGTTCATGAAACACAAATGAAACACATTCTTCTGACTTAGCAGTTTATTACCAGATGTACCATAGTGTATTACAGTCACTATACAATAATGTTACAATGTTAATGTTACAAGTTACATTGTACACAGTGCCACTTACACATTGTTTTAACTGTGCTATTAACAAAATTACAAAAATGCTTGATCAATGCACAGTTTTAACCAGGTACAAAACAGTTAAACTTCACATGCTTTCTTAAAGTTTAAAATCACCAGTTATCTTCTGATATATACCCACCCAGTTTAGAATTGCAAATTGTGTCCTTGTATCTTGGATCACAGCTACTACTGTGTTATCAACATAAATTGCAGACAGTCTCCTTCAGCCCACCCATCCAAGTTATTCATTTATTAAAATGATACAAACTCCAAAGTGACCTATAACATGCTCAGTCCCAATTGGAGATGAGACATGGCCCCCACTGACATTGGTGCAAGCTTGTGATTGCGAAGCTGCAAAAGACACTGTTTCACTGGTATCTGATTTACCCCCCCACCAACTCCAGCCCCACCTACAATGCCACTGAACCAGTTTTGTGCAATTAAGAATTCCAGTCACAGTTGGTTTGTGACCCAGAATTAAATTCACAAGTCAAAGTGAAAAACTTTACCTGTTGAGCCACTCAGGAGCCCTACAGCAACTCTACATTTAACTCTGATTCTACACTACACTGTAAATAATGTGCTTTACGTCACTCACAAGTCCCAATCAGACATTGTCATAAATAAACAGAACGTTTAATTTTAGCAATGTTTGCTGTTCTGTGATACTGAAAAGGATTCTGCCATTTCATTTGAAGCTTAGAAAAATCATGAAGAAAAGCTTCTTCATTGCATTTTGGGAAAAGTCAGAGCAAACAAATACAAAACAGAAATAGATATGTAATGGATACATCAGATACTATCAAGATTACAGTTAACTGATAGGTTGATCTTTCATTAGACAATGTTTGGATGAATTCTACTGAATATTACTACTCCAAAGAGGAAAAGCAAATAAGTGAAATCTAGACAGAAGTATAGGATAATTTAGGTCTTATAAAAACAAAAATTCTCAGTTTGCAAAGAAATGGTGTATTTCTGTTTTCCAAACACATTAGTAACATTCTGATTGGTTGAAGGCTGTCTGATGATTATGTTAATAAAAAATAAATAAATGTACAGATTTAGAACTATTAACAATACATTGGTTAGATTCAGTAGAGAGCTCATTTAAAATGAAGTCCTACTACAGTGTAAATGACCAGATTCCAATTACACTTTATATCTACCACCAACCTTCCTTATTGTGAAGTAAGAGATTAAAAATTAATGTCCTCAATGACCAAATATTGTTCTGCTTATTGTTTACTAGGCCAAAAGAGGGCATTGGAAAAAAATATTCCAAAGAACCGTCAGGAAAAATGTGCCTTTCCGTGAACTTTACTCAACACCACTAAAGCCAACAGTGAGTGAAAACATATAACACTAATGTTATTTTGTTTTTGTGAACCTGCTGGAGTAAAATTGTGAACTTCTGATACCAAAAAACAAATATGTTTGCCATTTACACATCTGAATGTAACCAAATAACAAGAGCAAATAAATAAAAAAAGGTGTGCTGATTTAAAAACAGAAAACAGGAAATGTTTATTTTCAA